ACCGAGAGAATATCAAAGGATCAATTCTCTATAACAAACTTTTTCAGAGTGCATGATCTGATGAGAGTGCATGATCTGATGAGTATCACATGTATGGTTTATAAGCCAGCATGCCAGTCTCGTAATCGAAATATTTCTTTACCATTGTCTCTTTTCTGTTCCTCGTCAGTGAACTAAAAAATATAATATTCTGTTGAATCTATGGAGACGTTGCATTACTTTTCATGTACACTGAACCTATTCAACGGCCTTGACTGAGACCCAACCGTTAATCAGATGCAAGCGATGTAGCGGATGTGCCTAAAGATGTAAAATAAGCTGAAAGTGCCTCATTGAATATGCTCACCTATGCTAGTAGGCGCTTGAGATTTAGCGTGAAATTGTATTTTGCTATCTTAGGCCGGTTGCAAAGAGAACATTGTGGTGCACTGGTTTTACCGATCTGCCCAAACCATCCGGGTGGTATCGCAAATATATAGGGAACAGAACAATAGAGGAGACGTCAGCCAATCCGAAAATACTGACGTCACTATAACTGATAAAACTGATTGGACAATGCTGTTGTGATTTGAAATGGCAAAGGGAAGTACCTTTCAATAAATTTTTGCGGGCCTTCTCGTTTAATTGAAACCTATTAAAAAGAATTTGAAGTACGTTGAAAGAAACGGCATTCTGGTTTTCCCTCAAGACATTACCAGATTCATTAAACAGCGACGTTTATATTATTTAGTAATTTTGCATCGTATATTATATCTAATTCTTCCTTGTTTTGGCGAGGCAAGTAAACTGCGTTAAATATTTTAAAGACCCAATCAGATGAACCGATAAACTGTGAACATCAAATCATGTAATACAAGAAAGAAAAATCAACGATGGTCTCAGTGGCCGACCGGTTCATTTATAGTTGACGGGACCGTTAGGGCGTAAACAGAAAGACCAAAACTGTGTACACAACCTGGTGTACACAAAGACTGTAACGTTTCAGTCAACCATTGATTCTAAGCTAGAGAAGAGAAAACGACGTGTAAACGACTAAATTAAACAACGAGGTTAAGCAACGCATGCAAAACGCATTGGTTGCAGCCAAAGACTGTAACGTTTCAGTCAACCACTGATTTTAAGCTAGAGAAGAGAAAACGACGTGTAAACGACTAAATTAAACAACGAGGTTAAGCAACGCATGCAAAACACATTGGTTGTCGCTAAACCAAAATTGATTAATAGCGTGTTTATGTTTTTTTGCGAGTTGGTTTTTAAAATTCATAAAAACAAAACATCGAACGTGAGTGATAACACCTTTTGTTTTAGATGAAAATTAAAAATGCAAAGTGTTATTGTGGTTTCGGAAACCATTGTTGATTAATTGAGGTCGGTGGTGAGCTGCCGCTGCAAGGGCTAGAAAAGTAATTGCAACTATGAACCATGCACAGAAACTGAAAAATCTAGAGCAGTTGAAGATTTAAGTTTTACATTAGTGGGCTGTTCGCAAAAACTGGATTTGTTGCTGTGGATGGTGGAAGCCGAGGAAGACATAGAAAGAAAAGGTCGAAGAAATAATGAGGCCCATCTGTAAAAACAGGTTGAACTGACCGGATTTTACTGAGTTAAACTTATAAATCGCCTGATAATCGAAGATTTAGTTGGTTGCGCACTGTACGACTCGTAAAATTTATCGCTTTCATGGCCCGCTACGCTTTTTTCTCTCTTTTCTCGATGCTGAAAGCAACAAAAAGAATTATTTTCGTTAACACTTTAAAGTATTAAATTATCCATACCCGACCGCTATGACTGCGTAAAAAACTGTATTGAAGTTTCTGTTCAAGTGCCTAAATACTAAGCTCAATTCGTAAATTTTGCTTATCTTCCATTTATAGCTTATTTTATTGATTTCTCTCTATTTTTCGCAACTGTCAGTTGGGAACAGCTCAAAATTTTAGTTAAACTGGATTATACAAAAAAGTTGGTTTGTACTGCTTTCATTTAAATTATTAAAGAAGATAGAAACTTAAGAGAGACTAACTTTGTTGACTTTCTGTCATGCTTTCTTGCCCCTGAAAAATCGTAGGAAAAATATCAAAACCGATGGAGTGTATTGCCTGACACCCGCCCTCCGATTTGGTACCACGTGACCCAAAATAGCCAATAAAATCACGAAAATTAATCAGTGGATTATAAGTGAATTTATGTTTGCCCGTATTGTACCCCAACTCTTCTAATCTGGGAAAAAAAAAAACAAACAAACAAAACAAAACAAAAAAAAATGAGAACTGATAGAGACAACATTCAAACATGCTCTCCACTTATTTCAAGAAGAAGCATAATAAGAATACTAGAATAAATTGAGAAGGCTAAATGTTTCATCGTCGAAAAACGGGCAAATAAAGCAAAATGTGCAGTTTTGGGATCAAAACTATTTTTAAACAAGTAATTGTGATTGCGTGTTGCGTGATCTGCGTGCATGTGCAACTGCGCAAACTTGATGTAAACAATGCGCATAGATGTTGTTTCGAATAATTGTAGTTTTGCCTTCTAAAATGATCATTTCAATCATCTTCAGGTTCGATATAAGAGAAGACTTTAAGCTCGATGCCTTGGGGTTACTCTTGGGAATTCTTGGTGAGGTACGTTGTGCCGCCGTGCTCTCCAAATCCTAACCCTATTTCAAATAAAAACATGTCACTTTTCACACCCGTTTACAGACCTGGCATCTAAAATCCATTTCCATTCTCAGACCTGGCCTTTATTATAAGAAATTATGTCACCATTACTAAGATTAGAACAGTAACAAAAAAGATGCTTTAAAATCCATCTCGAACTGCAAATATTTCTCTTTCTTTCTTACCCATTTGGAATTGCAGCAATAAATACCAACTTGCATACACTTCCGTAGTTATCTTGAAAACCATAAGCGTTTGCAGACCAAAATGAGCAAAGTGTATTCCCGTTTTCAGACTAAAACGGCGCAAAAACCCTACCGTTTGGAGTGACCCACACCTATATGGCTCACATTAGGGAGTCTATTTATTTCAGATGTGTTTGCGGGAAATTTTATTCTTAATCAACTAAACCCTTCCTCAAATAGTGATAAATGGAAAGCTCCAAATGTTTAGTAGGGACTTGAATATTTCTTTGTCATGGCGTCAAGTTGAAAGTTCGTCCCTTTAATTAGAATTATATAAAGGGAAGTAGATAGAAGTTAATAACAGAGATACCCGTTAATCGCAGTCTTACTTGTTTTAGAAGTTAACGCAATCGAAATTGAAACTGATATATTGTCAGTGTCTGCAGTTCTTTCTGATCAGAGAAACGTAGCAGTTAACCTGGCTAAGATTTCAGGTTTTCTTCGAAAGATAGTATTCAAACAAGTACCTTTAAATATGCTAATTTGTATTTTACCATTTTACTAAGGAAATTTTCAGCAAATGAAATACTGCTACGCAGGCTACCCGCATAAAGCTTTAAGCGTTGCGGTGTTTTGTTGCTGAGGTGAGGTGGTTGTTCCCAATGAACTGCCAGGTAAACAGAGAATCAACAAAACAGCGAAATACTGAACCATGCTGAGCCGGACAGAAAACTGCCATTAGTATTGAATTTAGTGATAAGAAATGCTCATTACAAGGTAGTTAAATAGTGAATATTTGAAAGTCAATTTTCTGTTCCTGTTAATTGTTTGCTTGTTTTCTTTTCTTTTTATGGTAACTTTCTCGTAACTTCTTATTCTTTGTCCATGTGTTCCTGTCAGTGTAAGACACTGAAACAGGGCCAAAAGATTAATATTTCAAAAAGCCCTGTGAATTCTATTTATTATCAATGACATTCTAAAGCTTAATTTAAAACCAGTAAATGCAAACCGTATTTTGATCAGCACCGCTTTAGCTTGTTTAAAAGCGCTTTTTCTATTTCTTACTTGGCTTGAAAGGTTATGTGCCGCTCAACAAATTGGTTTTCAAGGACTCACGTGAGTCTTAAACAGGGTATACTGTTTTACTATTAGTAACCGCCGCCCGATTAGCTCAATGGGATAAGGGCCGGTGTACTGTCGCAATTTGTAATAATCATCGCACTTTGTAATACCTGTCGCAATTTGTAATAAATCCATCGCACTTTGTAATACCTGTCGCAATTTGTAATAAACCTTGTCGCACTTTGTAATAAAAAAAGCTGTCGTAATTTGTAATAACAGTCCATCGAACTTTTTAATAAACTAAGCTGTCGCAATTTGTAATAATTCCATCGCACTTTGTAATAATTTTTTGAGAGTGATTCAACTTATATTACTTCGTCAACATTAATATAATGCCAAAATATGCATGGTACTTCATAGACAAAGATGATGACGTCTGCTAGCATGTAACATGTCCGTAACATTTTCTTTGGTCAAACATGCATGTCTTCCGCTATAAATTTTGCTGCCTTGATTAATCACGTGACTAACCAGAAACGCTTTTATGAAAGACATGAAACTGCCTGTGACATATCACCAAAAAGATATGAATCACGTTTAAATTCAAAAATATTTAAATAAGAAAGGCAACATTTAACAACAGAAAATTCATGAATAACCTGGCATTCGTCGTCCAAATCCATGTTTGCTTGCCACGTGACACGTGAAGTCTTCGGCGGGGGGAGGGGGGGGGGGATAATCCCATATATTGATGGGCTAGATAGGTAAGTACCGCCTGATAGGGTATGGTTTTTGAGGATCTCGAGCCTTTAATAGGGTATCATTTTTTACGTTGTTGGCCTTGTGTCTTTGGTTTGATCCTTAGATAGGGTAACTCAAGTAGTAATGGATGGTTTATTCCATCCTTTCCTTTTTGTAGAAAAACACTAATCCAGAACACGCTCGGAAGAATTGCAAGGTCTTACGAGTTGTATATACGCAGGCAAGGATAATTTTTTACCATCCCCATGGTATTTGCTTTAGAGGACTCCTTACAGAAAACAATTGTTTTAAGATGGAATGAGTACTCCTTTTGTTCCTATATGAGACCAAATCAAGTGAGAATAATGGACCAAATGCCCAGCCGGCTCAGTGTAAGAACCCAATTGAGTGTTATAAAAACAGGTACATACGAAGGTATTGGCCAGCAACTAATTGGATTTTGTGGTTAGGTTTCTGTTGTGGTTCGAAGGTTTGCCACTGGTAACGTTTTTTTTTTTATTTGCAGTAAACATTTTGAATCTTTCCAGGTATCCTTTGATTAAGTTGAAAGCCACTATTACTTCTTTAAGATTGCTCGTTAGACAAGAACGGTGTACCACGTGTTGTGTCAACCTGTTTTAAGATCTAACAAGGAAAGCTTGAACTCTCCTGCTGTTTTTATTCGAATGATGTAGGATGGATGTTACGATTAGCGGGCATTTAAATGCTTTTTAACAATGGCTTGTTTGTGTCTAGTGTGTCTAGTTCTGTCTAGATCCTCTACTCTGGCAATGCTCTGTCCAGAGGCACATCCCCGTAGTGGCCATATAAGGAAGTACACCCGCCGGGTAACCATTGAATGCAAGCCACCTAGTACAATAGCAAGGTTCAAGAATACAGCATTTCGTAAGTCAGATAACTAATCAACATTAATCTAAAAAAATATTTAGGACTGTGAATAAAGTTAAATGGTTGAATGAGCGGAGATGTTACGTGCTAGCAGACGTCATCTCCATCTTTGTTTATGAAGTACCACGCATATTTTGGCGTTATATTAATGTTGACGAAGTAACTTTGATTACTCTCAAAAAGTTATTACAAAGTGCGATGGAATTATTACAAATTGCGACAGCTTAGTTTATTACAAAGTGCGATGGACAGTTGTTACAAATTGTGACAGCTTTTTTATTACAAAGTGTGACACGGTTTATTACAAATTGCGACAGGTATTACAAAGTGCGATGGATTTATTACAAATCGCGACAGGTATTACAAAGTGCGATGATTATTACAAATTGCGACAGTACACCGGTCTGCTGTGCGGAAGGCTGTAGGTTCAAACCCCGGCCGGACCAATACTCAGGGTCTTTAAATAACTGAGGAAAAAGAGCTCCCTTTCTAAGAACATCCGCAAACGGTTAGACTTTCTAGTCTTCTCGGATAAGGACGATAAACGGTAGGCCCCGTCTCACAAGCCCTTGCACATGTAATAAATCTGTGTGACGTTAAAGAACCCATACACTCTTCGTAAAGAGTAGGGCACGTAGTGCCCGGTGTAGTGCACGTGGTCTTTCTTACTTTCACACTCATGTACGGGGGCATCATTACTCATTCCTTCATTACTTGTAAACTGCACCATAAGCAGTCTGGCAAAGTCCCCCAACCAGTGGCCCTGAGGGGAGTGGATAATAAGATATTTACATTTACATTTACATTTACATTTACGTCTTTAACAGGGCGTCTTTTTGGACTGGAAGCCTGTTAAAGAGTATTAAGGCTGGCTGTTATGCTACAAATAGTCCTAATTTTGTAAAAAAAAAAAAAAAACTTAATTCCGTGATGTTAGTTTAATTCAGTATGCGAAACGAAATGGGTCGTGATCATAAAATCCTGTCTCTCACTTAAACAGGGCCAGGTTACTGTAAATCAAGTCTAACTACTAGTTAACAGAGACAAGCCAAATTCTTGTCTCTTTCTTGGTATTTGTTGGTCTATAGCGAAAGGACAAACCTTCTTTTGACGCCCGTCCCAAAACAATGCATAGCTAAGGAACGTCCTAAGTTACGGCATAAAACCTGCGAAAACCGCTACTCCCTCAAGGTCGGTGCATAGCGCTAAATATCCTTGACGCTCATTGCATCGCCGTTTATCTCCACCATTATTTACCACCGCTTCAGGAGATAGTTGTGTACCCTTCACTACGAAACAAAATAAAATCGCGTTTTTTTTTTTCCTTTCTGTAAAAGATACAGCGGTACCAAACGGGTGTCTGTAAAACGTGGACCGGATACCTGCGGATGCGGATAGAAATATGCGGATGGAAAAAATAATGCTGATAACAAAAAAAGTAAGAAGAAAAAAAAGAGAAATGTGGATGGCAAAAAAATAATAATAAAATAAAATAAACAAACAGGCAATTAAGAAAAGAAATCTTTCTTTCAAGTAGCTGTCACATGGTTGAACCCTTCACTTACATTCAGAACGTGATGCCAATAGTTGGCACAGTTTTGTACCCTGTAATTCCTTTCATTACTGCCACAGAAATAAGGACGCACCGTTCCTCCTCCTTAAATGCACACATACTTGGTGCACTTCTCCTTTTGATTGTTTAGCTTAAGGCTTCCAGGCAATGTAAACAGCTCAAAAAATCGGCTAGCAAAGGAGGTGTCTGCAAAACGAGGACTTGATGCCTGCGGATGGCGGATACGGATGGGAAAATGAGGATGGAAAAAATTGTGAACAATAACAAAAACAGGAAAAACACAAATTTGGATATATAAATTGTGTCAGTAAAACATTTCTTAACAAAACAAAACGTGTATAACGTTGTTCGGACAACAACAACAAAAAAAGATTAAATTTCATCAAATTAAAAGAAAATTAGAGAAAGCAACTAAATTAGCAAAAAAATAGGGTGAAATAAACGAAAAATTGGCGTGCTTTGCGTCGCCTGTTTAACGCTCGCCTCCGGTAAATCGCCATGTTTCCTCACGAAGGAGCCTGCTCTTCAAAAGGGCTCATAATAAAAATCAACTTTTGCTCTGCCTCGACTCTGGTCGACTCTGCCATAGCAGACAGTTCAGAGAGTGTTGTGAACTGCAGACACCTGCAGAAGCCCATTTTTGAGATCATAAGCTAAGCTACTGTTACACTAGTTGTCTTCTGTTACACAATTTCCTCTCGGTTTTGTGTGAATCAGTCTTGTTTAATGACTGTAATGAGGGTTTTTCTACAGAAATTCATTTTCAAGCAATATGCCGCACCCTCAAAGGAGTCATTTTTCTGGCCTTCGCTCCATTAATTTTCACAGCTTTACGAAAAGCTTCCATCAACATATAAAAAATGCTGATCTGGTGTAGACATTGCTAAAAAATTTATATAGTCTTGTTAAGAAGCAGCTTGGTCTTTTTCTGATTTGTAATAATTAAACATCTTTCCGTGCAGAAAAAATATGTTTGGTTGCTGCTTCGCAGATAGACGGGAGCGAGCCATAATTCGAATATTATATAAATTATTTTCGATTCCGAATTCTGCCTTTCACGCTTTTAAAAACCAGTTTTAAGTTGCTCGATACGTTCTAAAAACTCACTGAGTATATGTTTTGGAAACTATTTTGCTAGCAGAAAAATTCGAAACAAAAACAAATGAAACAGAAAGAAGCCTTCATTAATGTGCTTCCAAGCGACACTTTTTTGTGGGAGTTTAATTTAGCCGATTAGGTGATTTTTTTACACCTCATCGGAAAATAATTTTTGCGATTGATCAAGAGGTCTGTTTTTTTCTTTCCAATCTGCAGTATATTTTGCAATTTTAAAAATTCGAACTCATTATTCGTGCACTTATAAATTTCCAAAGGGTAGAACTTGTAAAAAATAAATCCACATGATAGGCGGCCTTGATTGGCATCTGCCAAATCGGAAAGTTATGTTTTTACGTTCGGCCTTTTTTCTGGTTGACACTGCAATTTTTTCTGTCTTGAGCAGCTCAAACAAATAAGTCTTGATTTGATTGCCCTGAGAATATTCTTTCTGTAAGTTGAGTACACTCTATCGAGTGAGAGCAAAGAAATCAGAACTCCAGGTCAGAATGATTTTATATCAAAAATTGTTTGTCGTTTGTTTTGCAAGTGCCTCCCCTTCTTAGCGTGATAACCATGAAATTCCTAATAAAGTAATGTTTAAAATAATATCGATCACTCCCGAAAGTAAAGACAGACTGCTTCGTGAATTACACCGCTTTAGGGTGTTGATCTGGTAATATTCTGCATTGCAGGGACCACTGGCTCTTTATTTGGTAAAGGGAAGAATATTAAACGGGGACAGTGCAAAATAAGCGAACCTTTGCTAGCCGATTTTTTGAGCTGTTTACCTTGCCTGGAAGCCTTAAGCTAAACACTCAAAGGAGAAGTGCGCCAAGTATGTGTGCATTTAAGGAGGAGGAACTGTGCCAACTACTGGCATCACGTTCTGAATGTAAATGAAGGGTTCAACCATGTGATAGCCACTTGAAAGAAAGATTTCTTTTCTTAATATCATAGGTGACGAATTACTCCTTAATTTTGGCGCGAAATTTCAGCGTTAATTTGTAATTTCACATGTGAAATTACCAAATTGCCATGGCAACCTGCCGTACGTCTCCGTTTCAAGATGGCGAGGAAGTTTTAAAATGTCGTGACTGAAGATGTCGGGGCATAAAAAGACGCTTTAGAAAACCTGAACACACGAAAGAGCAAATCAAGAAGGATTCTTAGAGGTATGTGTGGAAAAATTCTGAAAACTTAAGCCAAATTTTAGCTCTAAACGTTTGAGAGAGTGGAGTTCACGATCGATCGATATGATCCAGGATAAACAAGTCAAAAATCCTCGAAAGCTAAGGTAATTCGTCACCTATGATATTAATAGGTAATCAAATGGTATACTCGTGAAATTAGGGAATAATTTCACGCGCGTTTTGTCCACATGGTAATTGTTTGTTTTTTTATTTTATTTTATTATTATTTTTTTGCCATCCACATTTCTCGTTTTTTTACTTCTTACGCCATCCGCAGGTATCCGGTTCGCGTTTTACAGACACCCGTACCAAACGTCTTAATGCTGGCGAAAGTTTGATTTTGCCAACGATTCAGTTTTATTATCGGCTTGACTTATCTCTCGGGCTGAAAAGTGTCGACGTCATCAAGCACGTGACTTAGGCAAACTGCTTAACTGCTGAAATTCAGGGATACTTACGCCTTCTCGTTATTGTGAAAGGTGCTTTGCATTCAATGGTCACTATGTAATACGTGACCGTATCTTCATACTGATAGAAGCTTGGGTTTATAAGTCACGTGGTTTGACGACATAATTAGCTTCTTTGTTTATTTTAGGTGTATCCTTACTGGACAAAGAAGGCTATTTAATATACCACAAAGTTTATTGAATCACCCTCCTTGGGTTTCTTCCGACATAAATAAAAAATCAGAGGAGCTCTTATGGGTTGGCACAGAGTCGACATTTGTTATAAGTTGGTACTCTTTTATCATAGTTGCAATGTTTTTTTGGCTGTTCTAACCTTTCATTAGTTCACCTCCGACTAGAAAACGTTTTTTTGGTTAGGGTGGTGGAAATGATTGCTATCCAAGGGTAATGTTGCAATCATACTAAGACTAGAAGTACGTTATCGCAAAAATCTCGCGAAGCAAAAAAGGGTCAGCAGTGAGAATAAACGGAAACAAGCAAAAGGGTAAAAAGACGATGGATCGCCCCATGTAAGGGAATCCGGATTCCGGAATCCAGGAATTTTTTGCTTGTGGAATCCGGAATCCTGGGCTTTGGAATCCGGAATCCAGCACTAGGAATCCGGAATCCTTCTAAAGATTGGAATCCAGAATCCAAGTTACTAAAGATCCACTCCAGATTGGATTGAGCTGCTCGCTCGAAACAAAAACCATCTATGGAAAGCCTCCCCAGGGTATATGCTTCAACGTTACGACATACAGTGTAATATCAGCATATCTGGTGTAAAAACCATAGTTCACGAGTTCCATATGAAAGGTCAAGGTCACGTTCAGCGAAGGAACCCTTGCTTATGAGCTGCTGGCAGAATCACAAAATTCGGGGGTTTTCGAGGGAATACAGCGCAGCCTTTTTAAGGTATAAATTGGATTGTTGTGAATAGCTTCAACCTCTGGCTATGTTTGATTCTCTGTTGTTCACTAGCTTCGCAGAACTGAAAAAATCAAAAGCGATTTGACCTGGCATAGGACCGGAAAAGGTGCACCAGGGGTGAACCTTTTCTTGAACCTTCCACTTTCAACATTTTACCGTAAAGAAAAAAAAAGAAATTCACAGTCTCCTAGTCCCTAATTTGGTCCAAGTAGTTTCGGTGAGAACAGTTTCATAGTTCCGATAATCTTTATTTGAGAAATAAGCTACAATAGGTATTGTCAGAACCTAATCTCGTACCCAGATCTGGGTACGAGATTAGTCAGAACCGTACCAATCAGCTGTCACTAAAGTAATCACGTGCAAGGACGCGGTGGGTGTCTTGTTCATTCATCCCTGGTATTCGAGTGAATTTTCGCCACCACATCGATGAGACGAGTTTTAAGTTTGTTGTCTGCTGGATTTTTCTTTTCTACTCTATTTTTCTTTTTTAAAAAATGCGTTATGGGAAAGCCAGGCTGAGATAGAAAGGTGCGTGTAATGCTGTGTTGTGAAATTTTATACCAATTTTTAGCTGACTGATAGATCTAAACGTGCCAAAGGCAAAGCTGCATGATTTTTCGTTTGTGTCTATCTGTGGACCGTAACGTGGTGGTAAGCAAGTCACAAACATGAACGAAAGATTGATTTTTTTCTCAATCATAATTGAATGTGATAAGAAGTTTACGTCTTCCGTGGAGAAAATATCGAGAAAATATCGTATAAATGAGCGCTATATGGTTGTAAAACGCTTAAAACGAGCCAACGCGTCAGAAACGTACAAGTCTCTCTTGATCTCTCAGTCATCTCAGATTAGGTCGAGGAACAGACGGATATTTTATGTTTTCTTTCTACAGTTGTGCTCCTGAATAGGCCTCGTTCACATTGGGGTCGCTTTTGGAAATGAGACTACTAATTAAAATTCAGGCACTGTTGTGTTTTCAGCCCTCTGTTATTTGCCTCAGAAATACTTCTTGCGATTCGCTCGCGATTCGCTAACGTACAGTAAACAGAGCAAAAATAAAATAAGTCCTAGTCATTGGTCGTGTGACTTGTGTGGCAACTCAAAATGCACGATGACGTTATGCTGAATGGCGTCTTTAGAATTTGTTTATGGCTTGTTGCTAGGCAACTGCAGATACCAAACCAATAGAAAGATTTAAGATCAAAGCGAAATCGCTCACTGCTTGCGATCCTCGCGCGGACAAAATTATAAACTCGCTCCGCGATAATAAAAGTGCAGTATTTTAAAGAAAACCATCGAAAACACAGAATAAGATAAACTCGTTAAATTTATGATATATAAAAACGTACATAGCAATAAAAGCCTTGATAGATAAAGGAAAAACTGTACTCTTGACGGAAGTTCGTACTACAACGGTCCGGCAGTAACTTAACTGGCTATCACTTGTTGCATAGGCATTCAAGACCGGTTATACCCATACGGGATCTCCTACCGGGTATACCCATACAGCACTGGTGATTTAGGTACCCAGCAGATATCACTCCTCCTGCCCTAAGGATCAGTTTACTGTTTTAGGTTTAAAATTTTGCATTGGAGACCAATTCCCTACGCGCTCAGCCGATTTTTGTGTTGTCACGAAAGTGCCTCCCCTCAAAGGAGCTAGCGACGCGCTACGTGACAAAACAAAGAACTGCAACTGCTGCAAAAACGTGCATGAATAGGACTAACATGCCGACATAATAATACAAAATCTTGATACTGTTATAAGACCTTACTACTGACAATCTAAAACGACGGAAGTAGCCCCAAAGGGCTAAAAAGAAAATGTCCGCCAAAAACAATTCTTTCGCACCTTGTGCTTTTCAGTCTGTATTTGGTGAATGCTATTCTAAGGAAATTAAAACAGCTCCAAAGTTAGACTCCCCTCATTAGGACTGGGGCCTAGATACTTCCTCGATCATTATCCGGGACACTGAATTCCACCCGGTGACAGCATCACCCAGGGTCCAGCCACTACACTGTCCTACCCATAATTCCACTCTAACAGCGCCTTGTGGGATATTTTCACAGTACCCCTCAAATGACCGATGATGCAGGAGATTAGGGATCCCAGATGGCCAGTAGCTGTAAATAACAGCCTCAATCGTCATTGGTCCACTGCATTCATTTCCATTGAACTTGAAATACCACCGATTACACTTAATACTACCTTCGACCCTTATGTTGCCCTGGAATGAGACTGAATTAGACTGCAGTTTGTTAAAGGTACAGTCCTGGAATAAAACCAAAGAAATCAAACATATTGTAGAAAGGCGAGCAACTGTGTGTAATAATTGATACTAACTACTCCAGTCAAGGTTACTTCCTAATTCTTAAAAGTCTGTAATAGCTTAAATTTTTCTTGTTCTTATTCATATGGCCAGGAATCATTTTATCACGCGATAGTTCTCCTTTTTGCGTTCAAAAAGAACCAAAGTAGTAAGAAATGTAACTTAGTTATTTATGTAATGTGTTGGCAAACGGTAGGTGGAAGGGGAGACGTTCTTCTTTGAAATATTTTAATGTAAAAAGGAATGAATTTTCTTAGGAGTGTGTTATGATTCTTATTCTAATTACCTTAATCTTTCCGTCATCAGTATCGGTTTGTGATTTCCACACACATTGTTTCCAGTTGGTTTGTGGTACTACACTTGCTTGACTTGCTTTGGCGCTTTCTCCTTTCTCTCCTTTATCTCCTTTTCTTCCTGAACTTCCCACAATGCCTGGCTCTCCTTTCATTCCTACAAGTCCCGCTTGACCTTTTATCCCTTTGATTCCTCGTGGTCCACTCTTTCCAGGAGGCCCTTCGCGCCCTCTGTCTCCTCTTGGACCCGGCATTCCTTGTGATCCTTTATCACCAATTTGTCCCTTAGTACCGTCCCTTCCCTGGGGTCCTTGAGGCCCGGGAACGCCTGGCATTCCTGGCATACCATTGAATCCTGGGATGCCTGGGAAACCCACTATAGATCGCTGAAGGTAAAGATCATTTGTTGTTTAATGTAGAGACATAAAAACTGAAAACTGAACGTTAAATACCGTTACCTTAATTAGTGTGATAGGAAAAGCAGGGAACAATGGGATAACCAATAGGCCATTTTGGAGTGCCCCCGAGGCCTCTGTGTCAAAAAGAATTTAAGTGCTCAGTCTTTGATATGGAAATGATTTTTCGTTCTCATACAAATAAAACTCATTTTCAAAAGAAAGGTTGTGTATATGGCCTCATTTTGAAGGTGAGGATTTTTAGAACTCGGAATTAAGTGGCCTATTGTCAGTATGTTCTAAGGAAGAAAAAAACTGGAATAAAAGAAGCTTTTAACAGTTAACCTCGGACGTCAGGTTTTTCGTGTATGAAAGATTAAGTTAAAAAAAGGACTTTTAAATAAATTGGAATGCATTTGCAAATGATAATGTGGCGATGATAAAGTAGTAAAATATATGGTTTAGTCCCTTGGGCGAGGCTAATCCACGGCGTACTCTCATTTTTATCTTCGTGTATTTCTTACCTCACATAAATCTTTTAACTTTGCATTGTTTTGTTGCTGAGGTGAGGTGGTTGTTCTCGCTGAACCGCCAGGAATAAAGAGAATCAACAAAACAGCGAAATACTGAGCCATCGTGCGAGCTGAACCAGACCACTTCAATTACTGAAATCAGTGCTACGTGCGCATCATTTAAATAGTGCGGAATATTTGAAAGTTAATCTTCTGTTCCTGTTCATTGTTGGCTTGGTTTTGCTTGTTTCCTTCTCCTTTTATGGTAATTATTTTGCAAAGTGTAACTTTCTGTTTATATGCCTACGTGCAACGAGAACTGAAACAGGGTCAAAAGATGAACATTCTAAACACAAATTAATGACAGTAAAGTTTTACAAAGGCAGAAATGTTTCCATAGTTATGCTTTCTGTTGCTTTGTGTTCCTAACAGCAGCCCTTTCCTTTCCTCTCCAGCACTCCAAAAAGTTTTAGACGATAAAATACTTTGCGTTCAGTCTAAGTTAGTCAGTGTTAGGTCAGAAAAATTAGAGTTTCCTTTTAGCTGCAGCTCAAAACTTCCTTAATTTCTTTAGCAAGTGTTTGTATGTCTAGCTTCCTTTTCTCAGTTATATCGGCACGTAACGTCATGCATGAAACTGAACTGATTGTTTGTTTTAAGATGACCCCCTAAGATAAAAAAATGAAAAAAATAGTAAAAATAATAATAATAAAAAACATGTATGTGTTGAATTTTGCGAAAGCATCTCCTTCCTCTACTGCTGTGATCAGGCTGTTTAGGAGGCGTGGTGTTTTTTAACAAAAGAAAGTTTCGTTTAGAATGCTCGGTGAAAGATTCTGATCGATAAAGCAACGTCAAAAAAATGAATTACTCATAGCGATGATGACTTTTATTTCCATTTTCTCTTGCTATGCAGTTTCTTGTTCAGGGAGCCACAAACTTTGAGCTGTGACCTGTAAACGTGGTTCCTTTTTACCAGGTGATGTTAAGTGTAAACATGGGTATTTTGTAATATTATGGTTTACATCCAGCGGAATAAGCGCAAAGCCTTTAATGAAAAATGCTTTCGTGTACGCATACATAGAGCTGAACTATGGTGATATTTCAGTGGAAAGACTTATCTCTAATTTTGTTGTATTAAGCAGCATTTAGCATGTTTAGGGTTATCGTTAGCCTGTCCGTGACTTCGCAAAGGCCTCATTCCTTTCCGTTCGAGTTAAATAGTCCCGTTTTATTTCCTTTGCAAATACTTTGCTACTATTACTACTAGCTTAAGAGGAAGTACACTTCTTTCATCATCACCAAACATGTGTAGGGAGGTTAATTAAGGTCTTGTTTTCTATGGAAACACCAAGTGATAGGAAATCATAATAATCAGACCGTGGAAACGCACGTCCGATTAAGTATAATTTAGAGTAGAAATTTTTGTATTGGGACCTTTTTTTCCCCATTTTTCACCTTTAAAGACAACTCTAGATCTAAATTGTCAGATAAGTCCTCAGAACGCCGCTAGCGCTTGATGCAGCATTTTTGTTGCAGTAAGTCTTAGGAGACCTTGACCCTACTTTTTGCAAAGGATGCTTACTGGTCGCGAGACCATATGTTAGAGGCTATTCAGCTTTCCCCTTACGCGATTTGAACAGATGTCAAGCATGGACACGAACTGGAACATGTAAACAGTTGGGACAATTTGTTTCAAGTTTAACTACAGTTTCTAAAATCATCAAAAATATTATTACCATGGTTATTCTTCCCTGTGAAATTTGTTTGAAATCTCCGTCAAATCTCTAACGAGTCATTTTGTGTATAGGTTAAATGGCACTTATAATCAGTATGACTTCCGCACAGGATTGACTTAAAACAACAATATCCTCATGACATGTCCCCTTCAACCCTCTTAGCCCCAACTTTATCCAAATACAACTTCTCCACACTGATCTCCATACATTTCCTTCAAGAACTGGTTAAGAGAATTTATAGATCAAAGCTCTGCCCATCAGGTGATCATTTCATTAATTCTCAAGGCAGTTTCTCTTGATTATGTATTGACACTGTTAGGAGAAAATTGACTTTCATGGTCTCTCTTGGAACTTGACTGAGGATTTAAGTAACTGTTGCAGAGAAAGTTTTCATTCCTTGTTGAAGAAACCTTGCTCTTGTAAGAAGAGGGCTTTAACCCTTTTTTGACGTTATGATTTATAGGAACGATCTCGAATCTCTTGAACAAAAAATAAAAAGATAAAAACTGGCCTAAACCAGATAGATATTAAGAATCTGCTGTAAGATAATTGGAGCAATTTTTGCAATCACCAAGAGAATATGACTACGTTTACGAACTCTGGCTGTTTCGCAAGTAAGTGGGCGATTGATTTCTATAAGAATGCAAGATATTCAGCTTCCATGCATTTCTCCACCTTAAGGCAAATAATTCCAAAAGCTTAAAGGGAAGTTAATTTAAATGATCAAAAAATACCTCTGCTCTGAACCGTGTGCTTTCACATGTTACATTTTCTATCCTTGTACTTGCTCTCGCCTTTTTTAACATTTCAGCCAGAAAAAAAGGCTCCCGAAAATTCTAGGTGACCTTTTTAGGGTAAAAATCCGTTAAAAATGGGGAATTATACCTTTTTTTAGTTATTCGAAAATCCTAGCAGAAGCAGGCAAGCAAGAAATTTTACAAGAAATGTTCCGAAAATTCTAGATCTCAAATCGTCTTCCGAACAGATATTTTCCGAAAATTGACGTTGGGTGCCCCTGTTTAATTAAGCGAAGTTTAAAAACCTTTGAAAGTGTTTTTTTTGTTTTTGTTTTATCTTTATTTTTTTTTTCTGGATGAAGTTTAAGATAATTTGAAATTACTATCCTTGATGATATAACACTATGACAACGGTAGACAATTTCTACTGAGGCTGTTATTATCACTGATTGAACTCATTTGAAACTTACAGACTCAATTGATGTTTATCATTTGCTAACTAATTCTGGGGGTTAGGTTATTTCTATTTGGATCGTGTACAACTGGAGTTTAAATCTAATCAAGACCGAGAGAAAAACAAAGGAACAATTCCCTATAATTAACTTTTTCAGAGTGATCTCATAAGTAGAACTGTATCTTTTGATTCTTCGTTCTTGTCTTCACAAGTATGAATTATAAGCCACTGGTTTCGTAAATCAAAATATTTCTTTACCACTGTCCCATTCTGTTTCACTTCAGTGACCTGCTTAGCCTCCATCTATTGATATAATATTCTGTTGAAACAATGGAAACGGTGCCTTAATTTCCATGTACTTATTCAGCTTCCTTGAGTGAGACCCCAATGCTACTTGGGTTAATCAAATGCAAGCAATGCATCGGATACGCATAACGATGTAATTTAAAAATGATTTGAAAGTGCCTCATTGAATATAAATAACTATGCTGGTTGGTGCTTGAGATTGAGCGTAAGATTGTATTTTGCTATCTTAGGTGTTGGCAAGAGATGTTTGTGGTGCGCTGGTTTTACTGATCCGCCCAAACCATCCGGGTGGTATCGCAAATATATAGGGAACAGAACAATAGAGGAGACGTCAGCCAATCAGGAAATACTGACGTCACTATAACTGATAAAACTGATTGGACAATACCGATTCTTTTATCTTTAATTGGTTTGTTCGTTGTTGTGATTTGAAATGGCAAAGGGAAGTACCTTTGAATGAAACTTTTGCTGGCCTTCTCGTTAAATTGAAACTTTTTTTTAAGAAATAGAAAAAAAGAGAAGAAACGGCAATCTGATTATCGATGCTGGCATTCCCAGATTCATTAAACAGCGACATTTATATCGATCTGTCTTATCTTTGCGACATATATTATATCTAATTCTTCCTTGTTTTGGCGAGGCAAGTAAACTGCAGTAATTCTTTTAAAGAACTAATCGGATGAACCGAAGCTAACCGATAAACTGTGTACATCAAATCAAAATACAAGAAAGGAAATTCAACGACTCTCTTAGCGGCCAACCGGTTCGTTTATAGTTTACTAGAACGTTAGGGTGTAAACGGAACGACAAAAACTGTAGTGTACACAAAGACTACGTTTCATTTGACCACTGATTCTAAGCTAGAGAAGAGAAAACGACTTGTAAACGACGAATCTAAACAATGAGCTAACAACGCAAAAATTTGGCATTGGTTGTCGCCAAAGCAAAATTGATTCATATTGTCTTTATGTTTTTTTGTGCGAGTTTTTTTTTTTAATTCATAAAAAAAAAAAAAAACTTTGAACGCGAGTGATAACACCCTTTGTTTTAGATAAAAGCTAGAAATGCAAATTGTTATTGTGGTTGCGGAAACCATTGTTGGTTAGTTGTGGTCGGTGGTGAACTTAGGACAAGACTTACTATTATTTTGTACTTTTTACTCGCTGTTTTTCAAAACGGCCAACGCGAATAGACGTTCTTTTAATTAATGTCCCTGCTTCAGCATTGTTTTACAGCCGATGCAAAGTTTCTGACATCCTTTCTAACCATTGCCATTAGCATTATGACATGGTGCGGACTGTACATTTTCTTTCTTTTTAATTTTGGCACAACATTGTCTCTTCTTTCTTCTTTTAATAGGGAGCTCAGGCAAAGGTGTTCGATGTACGTCAATAGGAAGTGAGACCTTTATCTTTCTTTCATCAAACTATGTCATGAAACCCACATTTCTATCTCTAATAGTCTTAATAGAACGCTTTGCCCGAAAATTTGGGCATCATACTGCTCGGCAGAATACTGCCCAAGGATGTAAAAGACGCACTTTCGGTTGACGTGCGTCCGGCTCAAAACGTCTTTTAAGCTCACTATTAAACTGCTGAATTATATCAACATGCAGAACGTTGTATCTCTGCTTTTCCTTTTCTCACTTGATCTCCCAGACCTGCGTCAAGGGCTAGGCGCTTGAATTTGTGGTTTCCCGTTCACGCGCGTCTTCATTCCCCCTAGGTTTTCTTCACCTTTAAGTACTAATATTTATTGCTTTTATTGCGCATTTTAACATTAAAAGATATGATCAAATACGCAAGTACTTGCAATGTAATATATTCAGCCGGATCTCCATAACTCTCTGATCTCCACTGACTAGTTACCCGAGAAATGCGTAGAGAATATTCAGTTATCCATGTTGCTTGTTAAGGGGTGCACTGGTTGGTAATACATTCTAACCCTGAATCATTCATTTTATACAGTCAGTAGAACCACGATTTTTGATTGGGATAACTAGGATTCTTCGCTAACTCGAACTAAATTTCCTTTCCCTTGATCAAAACTTTACTGAAATTTACCCTGATAACTCAAATTCCCCTCTTTTTCGCCGTTTCCCTTCAGAGTTCGAGTTATTTGACCGTTACCGTAAACTGGTCGCCTCTAGCTTACGGAAGAGGTTGCGAGCAGAACTTCGACTGCATATAGAAGAATTCAAAAATAATTGAACCATATTATCACGGTAAAATATCGTCATTAGTTGGAGTTTCTCACAGGTCAATTCTTTTCTTCAACCGTCGTATTTCGCTTAGCAGCGCCCAAGAATAAAACATTTATTAAGTCACTTCAGATGGTAGTGTATCTCCAAGAACAATTATCTGCTAAAAAACAAATCTACTCTTAATTAATTTAAAGGCACCAGACGAGAAAGATTATTACGAAAGCTTAGGGCAGAAAGAGACGCCATATAATCTTATTAAGTAAACGTGTCGGAAAGCTAAAGGATGTTAGTTTATAATTAGAGGCAAAAACCTTTTTGTCTTCAAATCATTTTGTCAGGAGATCTCATTTTTGCTGCAAAATCAAGCGTTCTAAGATGATTGCCTCCTTTGCCAGCGAGCAAAAGCGAAAATCAGAAACAAACAAATAAACAAACAAAAGTAAGTAAATAACACCTGTTCTACAATAACAAGAAGCATAGAAAACTACACCCGTTTTTATAAATAACGAATTATCATCCCTTTCGAAAATTCAATTTTAATTGAAGACCCGGGGGATTCCCTTTTCTTTAGCCTAGTAAAAGGTTACGTGTCACTGAACAACAGTAAGTTGGTTTTAAGGTCTGACCGGTGAACATCAAACAGGCTCAAGTAATTCACTATTTAAAGAGTGTGAAAGTTAGGTCACTTTTGTGCTATGAATCTTTTTGTAGAATTACGTTCTATTTGCGAAACGAAATGAGTTAGGGTCATAAAATAATGTCTCTTGGTCTTAAACAGAGCAGGGTCAGGTTACTGTAAACCAAGTCTATATACCACGAAACAAAATAAACCAACTCTCCTCTCTTTCTTCGTATATGCTGGTTGTCGCGAAAGGACAGCCCATTTTGACGCCCGTCCTAAAACAGTGCATAGCTAAGGAATGTTCCCAGCTTACGGGATCCAATCAATCCATGCTAATATTGCTAATCACTGAAAATGGCTAAACAAACTTAGCACTACAAAGCCAGGACGCTTTGCGTCGCGTTTTATCTGCACCATTATTTACCTCCTCTTCGATAGATAGTTGTGTACCTATTCACTGTATTCGTCTTAATGCTAGCGGAAAATGACATTTGGCCAAATTAACCAGTTCTGTTTTCAGCGTGACCTATCCCTCAGGCTGAAAGCTGAAGACGTCATCGAGATTTTTCTCTGTTAATTTAGGACAGTTAATTTACTTGTTATAGTCATTCATTATAAAACCATAGTTTTAGGTTAGGTTACTAACGCGCGAAACTCCATGATACTTTATTGTTATTGTAAAAGCTGGTTTGTATGCAATGGTCACTATGTACGTGTAGTACGTGTATGTTTATACTGACAGAAGCCTTGGGTATATAAGTCACGTGGTTAGGATATGGTAGAAAAGATTGCTCTCCAAGGGCAATATTGGTATCAGGCTAAGACAATGTTAAAGTAAAAGTATTTTTTTTAAGGAAACCATGAAAAACACAGAAAAAGATAAAGTCGTAAACATTTATCGTATATAAAAACCTACAAAGCAATAATAGCCTTGCTAAATAAAAGAAAACTGTACTCTTGAGGAAGTTCGTACTGCGACGGCCCGCATAGCTTAACTTCTTATAACTCGATGTATGGGTATCCAAGACCGGGTATACCGATACAGCACTACAGGGGTGATTAAAGTTCCCAACTGATTATGACGCCTCCTCCCCCCCCTTCCCCCCACTCGAGCAGGATATACAGGAAACCTGGATAGATGGATATTGAGAGACTGTACGGGCATACTGAGTTCAATTTTTGTTGTTAGGACAAATAATGGACAAGATTTGTACATACTGTTAAGTAAGACATTGTCTTTTATTGAAAGCTTCAATCACACGTTAAAGCAGACTACACTGACATGAAAGAAATATAACAAAGATGCTATTAAAGTAACGGGAAGGCTTGACAAGAATCTCAATGTTACGAGTACAAACACACCATTCCTTCCCACTGTTTAAAAGATAATCTAGCCTGCGTGGCAAGCTTTCCGAAAGGAAGAGGAAATAGGATTTTGGGCGCGTGAGAAGCACGAAGGGCGCGTGAGGAAGGAGGAAGGGGCGCGTTCCTATCCTCCCCTCTCCCTCGCGCGCGATCTCGCGCCTAAATTCCCTTCCCTTCCCTTTCGAATGCTTGCCACGCAGGCTAGCGATAATCAAGGTATCCTGTTATCATATTTTTATCTTTCCAGCTAATTGTCATACATTTTACTATGTGAGATTTTAATCCTCAAAATTTTTATCCGATTTTAGCAAAGGTTTCTGAGGTTTTGCCTCAAAGTGTTTAGCTACAAAAGGAATCGTGTTTAAGTCGCTATTTAAGTAAAGATTTTCTAAAATATTTTGACGGCGAAGATAACTTCTTAAGCATTTTTTTTTTCCAGATGAAAGATTATATCACGACGTTTGCTTTGCCTGCATAATATAATCAATTTAAAGACTTAAAGAAATAAACGGTAATCTGGTGATGTGGCATGGTAACCCAAGAGAGAATGGGTTCCCCTGAAGCTGCAGTGATATATTTTCCATCCACAACATATCACCTTTGAAAAGCATTGCCAATCAAGCGCTCTCCATCACAGCAACTTTTGTTTTATCTCGTCACGCAACGGGAAAGAGCTTTTTATGACAAGACAAAACGGCTGCATCGGGGACCAATTCCCTACGCGCTCAGTCGATTATTGTGTCGTCACGAAAGGTGCCCCCACATAGAGAAGCGCTGCGTGACAAAACATAGAACCGCTGCAAAAAAGTGCATGAATAGGAGACTAACATGCCTAAAAAATTATACAAGATTTTAATACTGTTATAAGAGTTTACAGGAGCCTAGGCTCCTGGAGTTTAATACGACGAAAGAGGCCACAAAGGGCTAAAAAGAAAATAACTAAAAACAATACTTTCGTACCTTGCGCTTTACAGACTATATTTGTAGAATGCTATTCTAAGGAACTTCAAACAGCGTTTAAGTTAAAGTTAAAGTTAAAGACTCTTCTTATTAGGACTGGGGCCTAGATACTTCTTCAATCATTATCCGGGACACTGAATTCCACCCGGTGTTAGCATCACCCAGGGTTTGTCTACTGCACTTTCCTACCCATAATTCCACTCTGACCGCCCCTTGTCGAATGTTTTCACAGTACCCCTCAAATGACCGATGATGTAGCAGATTAGGGTTCCCAGATGGCCACCAGTTATAAACAACAGCCTCAATCGTCATTGGTCCACTGCATTCATTTCCATTGAACTTGAAATACCATCGGTTACACTTAGAACTACTTCCAGAGACCCTCATGTTGCCCTGGAATGAGACTCTGAGCGCTGAACTAGACTGCAGTTTGTTAAACGCACAGTCTTGGAATAAAATCAAACATATTGTAGTAAGGAGAGCAACCGTGTGTTATGATTGATACTAACAACTCCAGTCAAGATTACTTCCTAATTTTTGAAAACTCTGTAAGAGGGGGGCGTAAGGGGGGTACGAATACCGTAATACCGCACATGGTAGCGCGAGAATACTGCAATACCGCATCAAAATTTATCCAAATACCGAAACCGCAGTTACCGCAGTTAACGAATTGTGTAAGAAGGTAACTTCGGCTATAGGTGCCCTTAGACGTATTAGGCCCCTTATCTCCCAATCTACTGCGGTACTAGTCTATAACTCCTTAATTCAACCTCACTTTGATTACTGTAGCCTTGTTTGGGATGGCTTAAGTGATCAACTGAGTGACAAATTACAAAAGTTACAGAACCGTGCAGCTAGAGTAATTTTAAAGGCCAACTATGGGACTAGCTCGAGCCTGCTTCTTGATATACTCAAATGGAACAAATTAGTTATAAGGAGAAAGAAGCATAAAGCAATAATGATGTTTAAATCTCTAAATGAACAAGCTCCAGTGTACTTGCAGAACCTATTTCACGAACGAAGCACAGACTATGATTTGCGCAATTCCTTTCATAAATTGACGTTGCCCAGGCCGCGTACTAACTACTTGAAACGAAGTTTCAGTTACAGCGGTGCTTTGTTGTGGAACTCTTTACCCGAAAATGTGAGAGAAACTAAATCAGTCAGGAAATTTAAAGAGCAAATCAAACATGTATTTGAGTCGTCGGACTCTCACTCGGCAGTCTTGTAAAACAGTATGTCGATAGTTTTTAGTCTAATTAATTGTGATTAGATTTTTACTCTATTATTACTGAAGATTTTACCGAGTTTTAAATAAAAAATCTACCTACCTACCTACAAATGGGAAAAAGTTGGCATTGTCAATACTACAAATCCTCCTTTCAAATAGAAATAATACTTTTATGTCAGTGTTTCCAAATCATAGGGCGTCGATGTCAAGCGTACGATAAACATAAGATCATCGCACTCGTTTAACATTGTTCCTTACGTGTATGCGTTTACTTAAATAATACAACTGGAGTTTTCTAGTATCACTTTATTGCCCCCGCAGAGATTTCGCCCAGAGGCGAAATCCCGAGGAGGCACCCTAGTAGCTCGCGCGTATATTAAGGGCAGTACTTGCAGTTCAAATATACAGTCAGTATACTAGAAAAAATCTCGATTTACTCGAACTGGGGCCGCGGGGAATCGGTAGGTAATGATGACGTTTCTATTGTTTGTGCCCGCAAGTACGAAATGGTTAGGATGACGTAAAGACAGAAAATCCCGAAGGGACCGCTCAGGTAGATTTTGTGACATTTATTGTGCAGTCATACTTCTTTTGCGTTGCGCAGTGACATTCTGTGGAGCAGATGTTTTGAAAGTTATGGACCAAACGACACTCGTTAAGCGCCGGGGAGGTTATGAGGTGCGTTTAACTGTGTATATATAAACACTTGGAGAGTTTACCAGACACGACTTCACAAATCTTTGATTTATATTGCAAACCTTGCCAGACACTCTTTGTCTTTCTTTGACCGGAATAAGACTCGGCCCCAAACAAGCAAGACGAGTGAACAACGGCTAGCTTATCACTATAGCAGATTGATCGACATTTACAGAAATTCGCCGACAATCCAATTCTGTGCTGACTTATTCCCTGCTTACAGATGTCCTTCCGTCATAAAATTTCAAATAACGTCAAATAAGACTAGAATGTGCTAGCGTGGATCGATCAAACGTTCTTTTAATTTCTAAGTCTTACTTTCCGGCAAATAAAATGAACTGAAAATAAAAAGTGAAAGAGAAATAGCGAAAAATTCAACCTCTAATTAAATCTTTTCTTATGGTTTAGAATAAACTACTGTCGAAGCTGAGAATGTTTTGATCAAAGCTGTGTAAATCGAGCTGAAACTGTGCATGGAACCTTGCGTTTCCTGTATTTATCTCACCTATTGTATGGAATATGTGTGAAAATCTTCATTATGAATCAGTATATTTCAAAGAGCTACACAACCATCAAGAATACTCAGTATTGACCGACAATATACAGAACGGGGGCAGCTGTAGTGTCAACTATTACTAGTATATTACTGACCTGGACAGGAGCCCATTTGATGGGCTCCAGACCTGGATCATAAACGGACGGATGACAGTTGACTCTTAAGAGGTTGTTTCAGATTCACAGTTAACTCGGTTCTGTGTTGAGGGCTTCAAAACGTCGACCCTGGCTGGGTTTTTGGATTCGAAGGACACACAGCACCTGGGGAGGGGGGGAGGCGGTACTCCCTTGCAAGAGGCTGATAGGGATGTGCCGCTTGATTATGGGGTCGCATTTTCACGACTGGAGTGACTATAATGGGGTCGAATTTTCAATAGAGTTACTAGAATGGGGTCGAAAATTTTCGGATTTTTGGGATAGGTAGGAATTCAAATGGGAAGATTCTCGGTTAAAAAATCAGGAAGTGGTTGTTTATTTTAATTTTTAAACAATAAGCTCGCATTGACCGCATTACATTCCTCCGCTTGAAGCTAAATAATGAAGGCGTGTGTGGGCGAGGATTGGGGCGGGAGCTGCTTCGCCGCTCACAGTTGTGCTGCCGACAAAACTATGTAAAACTGCCATGGGGTACTTGGGTTAATTTTTGCTTGGTATGTGCCACTGGCCTATCCGAGCCCCTACCCCATTATAGTCTATTCTGTGGCCAATTATAGACCCCATCTTAGTCACTTTTGAACAAATATTTAATCACTTGGTCACTTTCTATTTTTTTTAATTGACCATGTTTTAGATTGAATGAAGAACACTTTACTTTTCATCTACATTACAAACATTCTGGTACCTTTGCTAACCGTAAATATGAAGAACTGTTTTACCCCAAAAAAGCAGAACATGTGCGATCCCATTCTAGTAACTCTCTAAAAATGCGACCCCATCCAGCGGCACATCCTCATTAGCCTCTTATCAGGAAGTACCCCGCCCCCCCGGCCGCCATGGTACGAAGGCTAAGCACACACGAATACTAGTACATTCTATGTTCCTGCATGCACAACGAGAATGACGAGTATTAATTTTTAGATCACATCATCTTCATGGATTATCTTTCGTCACTACACAATTTATAACGACCTCACTGACCTCACTGACTGACCACTTAGTTGACCCTCTGGATCGCTCGCCATTGTTTTGCGACTGGCACGAAAGTGGTGGTAAGATTGGTAGGTTAAAAGCGGACTATTCCCACAATGTCCGTGAGGTCATAAATAATGCGACATGTTTACGTATCATTGGATAAAAAAGTTAATGTCGTTAATCATATCAAGTATTAACTGAAATTACAAGCCATACCATTTGTCTGCACTGTTTGCGCAATACGATCCCCGACTGCGCAACTATAGGAAGACACGCAGGCTAGCTAGCGAGACCTTTTAGGACTTGCATCCTCTTGTCATGAAAAAGAAGCAGATCACCGCGACACAACGATTTTTTCACCGACTACCGCAACAAAAAATTTAAACTTACCGCACACCGCTTGGACTCGGAAAACCGCAATACCGTACTTTGAAATAAAAATAACCCAATACCGCAATAATGCAAACCCTTACGCCCCCCTCCTGTAATAGCTCAAAGATTTACTGTCCTTATCCATAAGGCCAGGAATCATTTTATCACGAACGATGGTTTTCTGTTTTTCGTCCCAAAAGAACCAAAATTGAGGGAAACGTAACTTAGCTCTTTATGTAATGTGTTAGCAAAGGGTCAGTGAGAGGGGAGACGTTCTTCTTTGAAACATTTTGATTTAAAATGGAGTGAATTTTCTCAGGAGTGTGTTATAATTCTTAGTGTAATTACCTTAATCTTTCCGTTATCAGCACCGCTGGCTGATTTCCACACACATTGTTTCCAGTTGGTTTGTGGTACTAAACTTGCTTGACTTGCTTTGGCGCTTTCTCCTTTCTCTCCTTTGTCTCCTTTACTTCCTTTCATTCCGGCAATGCCTTGCTGTCCTTTTATTCCCACAGCTCCGCGCTCTCCTTTCATTCCCAGAAGTCCCTGTTGACCTTTCATTCCTTTTAATCCTAGGGGTCCACTCTTCCCAGGAGGTCCTTCGCGCCCTCTGTCTCCTCTTGTACCCGGCATTCCTTGTGATCCTTTATCACCAATTTGTCCTTTTACGCCTTCCCTTCCCTGGGGTCCGTGTGGCCCCGGCACTCCCGGCACTCCCGGTATACCATTTGATCCTGGAATACCAGGGAAACCCAGCATATATCGCTGAAAGTAAAGATGACTTATTACCAGAGACGAAGACGACAGGGGATCTTAAGTGACTCGGAAGGGGGGGTCTGCTGGATGTACTCCTGTTCTTAGTGGGGATGTGCCGCCCTGTTCCGCAAATCCAGACTCTATCTCAGACCATAAACACGTCATTTTTTACACCCGTTTTCAGACTTGGCCTCTAAAATCCATACTAGTTTTAGGAACTTATCTCTAAGAAATTATGCATGTCATCTTTAACAATATTAATTCTCTTTTGGCTGACTGGTCACTTTTTAAAAAACAACGCAATATAGTAAATAGCGAAATCAGATTAGCCAAGCAAGCCTATTATCAAAATAGTTGTAACAAGTATACGGGCGATTCTAAAAAGACCTGGCAGACTATCAATGAACTTACTTCGCGAAAATCTGGGAAAAAATCGGTGGCATCTCTGAAAGTAAATGGAGTATCAATAACAAATCCAACTGTGCTGTCGAACCAATTTAACAATCACTTTGCTATTATCGGTCCAGAACTTGCCAGCAATATTGATTCCTCAAATAGTGATGGTTATCAAAAGTACCTCACTGGCACAGATAAACGGTTTCAGCTCCATCCGACCAGTACAAATAAAGTTCTCTCACTTTTGAATCGTCTAAATAAGTCAAAGGCAGCTGGGTTGACAAGATATCTGCTAGGTTCATTCGGGAATGTGCAGATCTCATTTGCATTCCTATCCGCGATATTTTTAACCAGTCAGTAAGTCAAGGCATATTTCCGGATGACTGGAAATGCGCAAAGGTCACCCCACTTTTTGAACAAGGCGATCGGGACGACTTAAATAATTATCGTCCAATTTCGGTGATCTCAGTTATGGCCAAGGTCTTTGAAAGAATCGTCTAATTATATGCCTACCTAGAAGAGCACAATATAATCTGTAAATATCAATCAGGCTTTCGTGCTATTCACTCAACTGTCACGGCTCTTCTTGAGGCCACGGACACTTGGGCGTACAATATTGACCGCGGTAAAATGAACGCTGTTGTTTTCTTAGATCTCAAAAAGGCCTTCGACACAGTTGACCATGAGATCCTTTTATCAAAATTAAGCAATTACGGCATATATGGTAACGCACACCAATGGTTTAAGTCATATTTAGAGAATCGTACTCAAATGTGCTCCATCAACGGATCGCTCTCTCAAAGCTGTTTACTAAGTTGTGGTGTCCCCCAGGGGACGATTTTAGGTCCACTACTATTTCTGTTATACATCAACGATCTTCCAAACTGTCTTTCAAACTGTGAGCCGAGGATGTACGCTGATGACACCCACCTTACATACGCAGGTGATAATGCAGACAATATTCAGTTTCATCTAAATCAAGATTTAGAAAATGTTCACAATTGGCTGAGAGCAAACAAACTTACTCTAAATATGACTAAAACCGAATTTATGCTTATCGGATCTAGGCAGAGGCTAAGTACTCTCACAGAGTCCCCGACATTTGCAATTAATGATTTTCAAGTTAGCCAGGTCACTACTGCAAAATCACTTGGAGTGACCATCGATGACAGACTTGATTGGAGTGGCCATATCGAGAAAGTAACAAAGAAAGTCGCTTCTGGTATTGGGGTCATAAAACGAATAAGGCACCTTGTCCCTCAGGCGACCTTACAACTAATATATCAAGCTTTAATACAGCCACACTTTGATTATTGCAACATTGTTTGGGGAAACTGTGGGATAACCTTACGGAATAAGGTTCAAAAGCTACAAAACAGAGCCGCCCGTGTTTTGACCTACTCAAGCTACGACGTAGATGCTGGTCACCTTTTCAAACTTCTAGGGTGGAAAAACCTAGCTTGCCAGCAACAAATTCAAAGAGCTACGATGGTTTACAGGTCTCTGCACGGGTTGGCTCCAAATTATCTTAGTTCTAAATTTGAAAGGCGAGAAGTCGCATGTAACCTAAGGGACTCTGAAAATAAACTCAATGTTCCATTAGCGCGCACAAACTATTACAAAAACAGCTTCAGCTATAGTGGCGCCATTCTCTGAAACAGTCTTCCTTGTAACTTAAGGGAAGCAGAGTCCCTTGGGCAATTTAAACTATTACTCAAAGAACTGTAAGGCACGGCATTCGTGGAAAGCAGCTTTTTTATTTAAATATTTTTATTATATTAGTATTAGGCATTTTTAAAGCTGACGAATCTTGTACCGTGGATAAATAAAGATTATCTATGTATCTATCTATCTATCTATCTATCTATTTATCTATCTATCTATCTATCTATCTATCTATCTATCTATCTGTCTGTCTGTCTGTCTGTCTGTCTATCTATCTATCTATCTATCTATCTGTCTGTCTGTCTATCTATCTATCTATCTATCTATCTATCTGTCTGTCTGTCTGTCGGTCTGTCTATCTATCTATCTATCTATCTATCTATCTATATATCTATCTATCTTGGAAATGAAAGGATAATTCCCTTCATACACACCCGTAGCTCCCTCACAAACAATGATTCCACACCAAAATGAACAAAGTCTGTACCCCCCTATGAGGGGTGATCTCCGCCAATATTCTGTTTCAAATTCCATTATGAAGAACCTGCAATTTCCGGTTCCATCATCAGAACCGAAATTAGACCAACAGAACAGAAATTGAGAAGTCAGAACCGAAATTGATCTAACAGAACAGAAAGTACAAACTTAAGTCAGAACAAAAATTGAACCAACAGAACAGAAATCAAGAAGTTAGAACAGAAATTAACAAATCAGAGCCGAAATTGAACTAACAGAACAGAAATTAACATAATCGTCAATTTCTACACTAAATGGGACTGGGGCCGTGACGACAGCGCTGACTGAGTGAAGCCTGGGGAAAACCACTTTAAAATATTTTAATTTATGATTATTACCCTCCGCCGTATATATAATTCTAACATGGCCGCCAATGTGAGTGTGTTTCTTAGTCGTATTAGGTTTCTAAAAGAGCATTTACCTCCTTGACCGGCTGCTAGATGGTCATCGTGATAGACCTAGCTTCCGGATTATGAAGCAGTATCGGGGTCAAAAATAACTCGATGTCTATTTTCTATGTCGTCTTGTTGCCCCCGCAGGAATTTCACCCAGAAGGCGAAATCCCGAGGAGGCACTCTAGTGACTCGCGCATATATTAAGGAAAGTAATTACAGTTGAAATACACAGTCATACAGTCAATATAGAAAAAATCTCGATTTGCTTGAACAGGGGCCGCGAGGAATCAGTAGGTAATTACAGAAGCCCATCAAATGGAGACTACATCTCCATTAATTTCTTGAGTCAACCCTTTCCCGAGTAGATTTATAAATAGAACGGCTTGTTTCCCGCGAAAAGTGTCATATTTCCGTAAGTCTCGTATGTCACGGTGAAAAAATAAAATTGGATGAAGTCGAACTCAGAAGCCCGTCCTTCGACCGTTTTCTTTTTTTACTTTACGTCCATTTTTACAATTTTACAGCCGCTGGGATCTGGGTATCATGAAATAAAAGTTAATGAATTACCCGACTGAGACTGAGCAGGAAGCGATGGGACAAAGGCAGCGAATTAAGGATCATGGAAAGGTTATCTTTGCCAGTACTTTTTTTTTTTTTTGCCGCCATACATCCCACATTTAAGCATGCACCTAGAAAAGAGTCAACGATTAAGCGTTCTGTGGACGATTTGGAACTTTTCGATGATCAGCGCTGAAAAAGTGCCAGGATCATTTGATTTTTGTCATCACCGTGGAGTAGATTTCCCCAGTAAAGCACCCCGTGCAAAAGCGATGACCTATTAAAGTAGCAACTAACGAGGAATTGTATCTGCGCCAAAAGAATTATGACTGACTAATAGGACAATTCTCAGCAGTTAATGTAGACGTTTAGGCTCAATTCCTTCCTTCGAATTCTCATCTGTAGATCACTTTTTTTGCAAGAAAACAATGGCTGGGCCCGGTGTTACAAAACATAGCAGGGAATCATCACAATAGCTGACGGACAAAACAACCACAAGGACTACAAGTATTTATTCAGATGAACGCATTTCGGGAAAAAAAAAACCTCGAAAAACTAGAAATTTGATTAATGTTGAGTCATTTAGCCGAAATAAGAACATTAACGCTCAAAAAATTGGCTAAAGAAAACAAAATCCTGTCAGAACTACAGACTGCAGGTAGTAGTTAATCATTATGCATGTAACAGACCAGCTTCATGGCCTCTTAATGTGAGACAAGCAACCAAAATTAAGTTCACATAGTCAGAGTTTAAAACTCTCCACGGTATAATGTACCCGCTAGAAAGAAAAAAAAAGATCTCTGAGGGATGAAAACGCTTAAGTCACGTTTCACTAGCTTATGATTGCGTTTGGCCTGTCAATGTCAACACCGAATTCCCTGCCGTTTGATGAAGTACAATAGCGGTGTCATTTCGTCGTTGTGATTGGCTCTTCCCACCGTCGGGGCGCGAAGTCTCCCCTGGGAACCGTTCAAATTATAAATCTACTCGGGAAAGGGTTGACTCCAAGGGCTTGTATGGGAGATGGAGGCTCCATTTTATGGGCTCCTGGTAATTATGAGGTTTTTTTGTTTGCGCCCGCAAGTACGAAATGGTTAGGATGACGTAAAGACAGAAAATCCCGAAGGGACCGCTCAGGTAGATTTTGTGACATTTATAGTGCAGTCACAGCCTAGTCCCTGGGTGTTCTCGGTGCGGTCAATCCTGGACTCTACCGTGAGCTGTGACGTCACCGAGAGATACTTGCTTGCTCTTTCCCAGACTTCGCGCGGACAACTGGTCAAGAGAGAACGCCTAGGGACAACGCTGGTGCAGTCATACTTCGATAATCTTTTGCGTTACGCAGTGACATTCTGTGGAGCAGTTGTTTTGAAAGTTGTGGACCAAAAGACACTCATTAAGCGCTGATGAGGTTATAAGGTACGTTTAAGGGCGGCGCCCACTATTTTTACTGCGCACATTTTCTGCGCATGCCAAGGTAGTCGCGCGTGACACGAAAGAAATGCGCACCCCGTAAGG